GACAAAGTGGTGCTGATGTCCTTTTCTGGAAGTCAGGAGATAGCGGGGCGGAAGACCAGGGACTGCAGGACCAGGTGAACATTCCACAAGATGCAGGTATGTAAATAACGATTTGCACAGACCGGAAGTCACGCAATGCAAATCGCCAGACCTGAGACGGTAGCGAGGAAGGGGCTGGTTCTTCTTAAGAAGGGAAACCAAGCCCCTCCCACAAGTTCAGGCCCAGCCTTCCATATATATATAGTTAATACATTGCTAAACACAAATACACACACAGGTCAAGCCATAAGACTTGATTTTCCCACAGAAATCTCACTTTAACAGGGCTCTCACTACTGCAAGGGATTCTGGGTAGGCGTATGCAAATGAGCTCATCAAAGAACCACATTACACATTATTATTATATTATTACCTGTAGGTGCATGGCAATTATGTATCACAAATCACAATTAAGATGTTTATCCTTTATAATCCGTCCATACACCATTTGTTACTTTAACTGCTTTTTTTTTCATATAGGTGAGAATAACAGTTCTAACAATGGTTTATATTGAAAAGGTAAGAGCTTGGTGCCTTGGGCCAAGATGAAAAGGTGCTAATATCTTAAAGGAGATATTTTCTTTGTATGGTCTTCTATTGGAAGTTACCCTTGTCTATTCAATAAACAACCTTAAAAAATATCACTGGAAAGAATGAGATCAGAGAATCAAACTTGCCATTGTTTTGCTGACAAGGTCAACTGGAGCAGATTTCAATGCCATAAGATCAGCATTGTGGTACCGTGAGAATATACAAACCATCTTAGACTTATTCCAATTCTTATGGGGAAAAAAGGCAGACTTTATAAATACATAAATGTCAATTATCCTACTTGCTGGAAAAGAAGCAGCTACAGAGGGAGTTAGTGGAACTCTCAGATGTCTACAAATAGTTCATCACATTGTATATAAATTAGGTTATGTCTCTATTGTCCTATTTAATACCATTCACAGTGATGGAATCTGAGATGAGAAGTAATGAGCTTCACTAAAATAACAGTATCCCTTTTGAAGCATGTTACTGCTCTATTTCTCAAAACTCCATATCACATTGTGAAACTGTTAATAGCCAGTTAAGAGCAGTTACATTAGCTGAAATTCGTAGATTTCCCTGATAACCATTTTAGCCTCAGTTTTTACCCTTTAGGTTTGAAACTAATTGTTGTTTTCATCTCAAATCTTACAGGGTTACATTTTACAATGTTAGTGCATATTCCCAAACATCTTGTATCAGAACATCAGATCAGAACATCTTGTGTTCTTTGAAAACAAGTATCACAGATAGTGTTACTAATGATTTATTACTGTTTATTTATTATTTCAGCATGGTCCAAGTGTTGTCTACCGAGAAATTGTTCACTTATTCCTGATTCTAACAAACTAGCATACATGCAGCTGTTATTTCACCTAAAATTTCGTATCAACATTTTAAAAATTCTTATTAACAGAAATAAAATCACGTGCCATGGATTTATTTTGTCTGTATTTTTAAATTTGTATGTTTAACAAGGGCCGAAGATAAAAAGTACAATTTTGGGAATTGCACTGAATAATATATAATTAGACGCCTAACGATCCAATGCAAATAGCACAAAATAATTTACAATGGGGAAAAAAATAGTGAAGCCTTTCCATATCTTTGAGAATACCAGGACCAATGGTCTAGGGTCTGATTTGAAAGTATACAAAAAGTATAAGGAACCATAATTTTTAAAAGGCCTATTGGCTTCCCTGCCCCATGTGAAATCCTCTGACCTCTATATAATGGGCTGTAGTGGTTTCCTAGTCCCCTGCTACTAAGTGTCAACAGAAATGCAATTAAGTATATACCTCATTGATCCATAGCACTTAATATATTTTATGCTATTTCTTTAACATGAAGCTGCCCAGACTGCCCACAATATATATTAACCTCTCACCCTGATAAAGGAGATACACAGAGATGTCAACGTCTTGCTACCTCATTTCTATTTTGTCCCATCTCACAGTCCAAAGAATAGAAGAATAGTTTTCTCCCCTGATCATGGGGTGAAGTATGAACTGGGAGTTTCTAGCTCTACATAGTTTATTATGGGGCTCTGGGGTGCCTACACTTTATGATGTCCCATTTTACAGCCATGGGAAAGCAACATGGCGAAAGGGACATCTAAGGATACTTACTTTGCTTACAAGCAGAAAGATGAGTACAAACGGGATAACTCAATATTACTTACCATTACAAGTATTTATTTTAACATAAGTGCCTTCAGGAAGGTAAAACATATAGGGCCTGAAACAGACTGAAGATTAGAGGACACACACTGAGGTCAAGGCATACAGAATAGCATGATATTGGGAGAACGAACCAAATTAAGGATGTAAAAAAATCAGAAAACATGATAAACAAGCTAAATCAAAAACAAGGAATCAATACACAATCAGGAACACCCTCCTGGGTATACAAGAACCATGACATGTCATTGATCCTCTAGGCAAAGAAAGGTCTGTGTATCATTCCTGTATCTCCAGAGGTGTGTATTTTATTATTAAAAAAAAGAGTTGTGAATGCTCAATCTCAGCTCATAACCAGTGTCACATGTCCCTTTAGTGGTAGTTTGTACTTTACTGTCTGTTTTTTCTTAATTGTACAGCACTGTAGAATGTGTTGGCACTTTATGACCATGAGTAAGAATGATAATCAAATAATAAAAAATAATGTTGTTAATTGACAAAACGTGTTTGAAACAATGACCAAATGTATGCCTTTATGACAGGGGTAGACAAAAGTGATATTCCCTACAAATTTTAATCCAATATATCATCTATGGGATAATGATAATGAAAATGATAATGGTTTGGAACCAAAATTCACATCATGAATGTGTGGCCTTAAACAAAGATGCTATTAAGTCAGCTTGGACCAAAATCCTTCATAAATTCCATGCACCTTTTGGGTTATCTGGGAAATAAATAGGGTTTCCTACTTGGTGGTAGGTAGGTTGGTAGATGAACCTAAAAAGAGACCACTAAATAAATGATTTTTTTTTTTGTATCAATAGTTGATTGTTTCAATAAAAGAAGAGAAATGTTATGACAAAAATCATGGAAAAGATTGGTGACAAGAAAACATTTCGAATAATGGCCTTAACTTAATATTTTTGGATAATGTTTTCTAATAATTTCATATGTTTGGATAAACTTTTCAAAATATTTTATTTTGATAGTAAAATATAAAAAAAAATTATATATAAAAAATATCAATATATGAAAATATGACTATTAAAATATTTTTCAAAACATTTTAATAGCTTATCCAACATTTTTTAAAATAATGTAAAAAGTTTATACAAAAATATTAAATTGAGGTCAATATAGCATGTATTGTTTCTAAAAACCAACAAACAAAAAAAAAAGGTGACACATACGGCCAGGAATACTGCATATAAAAAAACAGGGAAAAAAATGTGAAAATGTAAGAGAAAAATATGATTATTTCTAGAACATATGCAATGGCAAAAAATTTTTTAAATGTATTTATGATTAGAGGGTAAAATTAATTGATTTTGCATATTTTGTTAAAGATTGATACTTCTGGATTAGTTTGAATGTCTTTCTCAAAGCTATGCATGGTAGATGTCAATTATCATTCCAGATGGAGTGAATCGGGAGGCTATACAACCATATGTGTAACTAAATATCACAGAGGTTGCATTAAGAAAACTCAGAAGAAGGGTATGAGATGACCTTGTAACATATAAATACCATCTGGAGATTAACAGTATTTTCAACAATCGCTTTCCATTGGTAGAACCGAGTATCTCTTATTTTAATCAAATATGACTACGTAAAGGGAGTTGATTTCGTCAAATAGTGTTTGAGATGCAATGTAATTAGAAAAGGGTAACTTCTTGTGTTTCATGTGAAGATAAAACTTCTCGTACGGTCCATTAATCACAATGAAGGAGAAAACTATGATTACGAGTGAATATGTTCATGTGTGCATGTATATACCTTTGTGTGTGAATACGTGACTTTGTGTATAAATGAATGTTTATGTTTGCATCCATCTGTGTGTGTGTTTCTATCCATATATTGCCTTCTCTGGCATTCTGGAACAAAATTATACAAATATTTAAGAAAAGAAAAAAAAATAACGTAAAAAAAAATACATAATGGCATGAAGTATGAATGAAGGTATGAACACATAAATATTTCTTTGCAGCACAGTAATGGGTAGGCATAGGTTGGCAGTGGTGTGCCTGAACCAAACATGCAGGTGTACCTAAAAAAACATCACCCACCTCGATAAATGATTAAGATTATAAAAAAGGGGAAACAAAGGATGTGAGTGCCATCTGATGAGAATGAGCAAGGTAGGAAGACTGCAAGCGGCTGTATTTTAGGCCCCCACTAATGCAAATATATATACAGTACGCTAACTTTATACAAAAATGTTATCTTGTTGGTGTATTCCTCATTCCCGGGTCCTCTAACAGAAGCCTGGGAGTTTGTTTCTGGAACTGCACTCTTCCAGACAGAGATCTCAGATATCCCACCTGGAATCCGCTGAAGCCACTCTTACGACTTTGTGGTCACAGCCCCGATACCATCCCAGAGTGCTCCTGTTACAACTGGTACTACTACTTAAAAAACAGCTTACCTTATACAAACAACATATCCACATTTACCCAGCGATGCTGAGCTATTAAGTACAATATGTTTGTACTTTCATTGTTTGTTTTAGATGTCTGTGCTGTTTGCATTTTGAGAATGGCAAACAATTCCAATGCTTCTAATTGATGTCTAGATATTTCAGATATTTCACGCCAGTAAAAGATATTGGTACGGTTTTATGAACCTTTCTAAATAGCAATAATACTGTAGACGAAATTAAGTAAAGAATGGTGGGTCAACACTTTACTCCAAAAATTCGTAATGAGAAAAAGACATTAAAATTTATTAAATATAAATATATTTATTAAAGTTGGTAAACATCAACAGCCTTAATCTTCTAACAGAAATAAATCTTTATATCTTCCTATGACACTGCATGGCAAAAACAAGACTAACCTAAACATAAGTAGTCGTAGAAGACACATTACATATTAATATAATATTAATATAGTCCCTGCCACACTAGAAATGGGTAATATTTTAGAGGTCCCCTACGAAATGAATCCAAAACTACAAAAAAAGCCAAGATCTGTGCTTGAACTGTTACAGACATATGTCAGTATTGTCCTATGACCAGCACTGTGTGCAGAGTGCTGGATTATAATGTCATATCCTGCTGCACTTTACATCATCTACACTACACGCACTCATGGACCTCAAGAAACTCACCAGGTGCTGGCCAAGACCGGGTTAATTAACCCAGTACAAGGCTCCGCTCCTAAATGGGAGGGACTTCAGTATAATGTATGAGGTATTCAGCAACCCTGGCAAGCTTGTCATTATGAAATATAGATTTTGAGATTTGCTTCTGATTGGACTGCAATTCAGCCTTAATGTGGCTGACTGGGTGTTTGATAGAATTCTGAGTTGAAATGTATCCGAATTATGGATTATCCAAAACACACAATGCCCAAGATAATTGTTTTTGGGGGGGGAGGGGGCGGCAGGGGTGAATCAACATACTAAATTCTGCCTGTGGTCAGAAAAAAATATGTCTGATGTGAAAAAAAGATGATTGGCAGCTGGGGGATAGTTACAAAATGTTGATTTTATTCACAAATCAAGTAAGAAGTGAGCAATAGAAGGAAAGCAAGGGTGGGCATTAAAAAAAAAAAAAATAATATATAGAGATATGTAAATATTTTTTTTTCTGCTACTCTAGTTTTGACTCTATTGGTTACTTTTTCTCAATTCATGTGTGAACCAAATGGCTGGAAAATACTCTTATTAATGTACAGCAAAATACATACGTAATCTTATATCAGTTCTATATTTTTCCACACACTGATTGGCCATTTTTGGTAGGTTCTTCGGATTTGGTTTCTGAATCATCATTTGGCCAAGCCAACCCCACATACGACCAAAAAAAAAAGTTTAATTCTTGGGGTGCAATATGATTGACTAAAGTAAAATGTATAAAATACAATAAATGCATGTAATAGTTTAAAAACTTTGAAAAAAAATCAACAACAAAGAATGGTCTATACACATGAATACATTTTAAACTGGACATATAAAGCTTAGTAAATAGATTACACTATAAACAAAAATTGAGATAAGTCAGTTCATTAAACTATTACAGTCTCTTGAAATCATTAACATCCAGTCTTTTGTTAAAGGCAATACATAAATTATCAGTAATGGCTATCGTAGTTTAGTGTCTAATGACACAATGAATATACATTCATGAAAGCAGATCAAATTTAAAAGTCACAACGTGTCAATGAACAAAATAGCCTCGGGAATGAAACAGACGCTATATCCGAGACCTCAATGGTCCAAAAGTAAAGCTCTTACAAGACAGGCTAATCGTAGGGGTTACAGATTCTCATTATACATGCATGTGTGTGTGCATTGAATTCAAAGTGAATTTCAACATTTAGGCCGGAAGAGATGAATACAAAAATGTTCCAAGTCAGATGTGTTTTCAGTTCTGCTGTTTTGGCCTTAAATTTGAATTTCTTTTGAATTCACCAAAAAATCTCACTTTAGGTAATACCTGTGTCAATAAGGGAAGATGGACTGAATGAATGCGGGCAGTTGCAAATAGAGGCTGATACTTGAGAGACTCTAGACTTGCTTGATTACTGTAAGAATATGTTATTACTGAAATACATGGGATATGGAGAGTCCAGTCTGTGTGACATTTTATAAACCATGAAAATGAAAAAAGCAAAACCAAAAAATCTCCTCACTATGAAGTTTTTTGTTAAAAAAGAGAACATTTATTCAAAATAGGAGATTAGTCATTAGCCCATAATCTTAGGAACACCAGAAATGACGTATAGCTCACTTTTCAGGGTTATGCAAAATAAAAAAAATTCTATCAATTCACAGAATTCTATTTATTTTTATTTAACAATTTCACCTTTATAGAAATGTTTGGGTATAAAAAGATTGAAATGATATATCTATCTTTTATCATTCAATACTATAAACCAGTTGGCATATAAGGTTAAATTTGCTGTCCAGGGTTAGGAAACCTAATGGCATTTGAGGAAATGCAAACTCTCACCGTAATGTGAACATATTGCCTCTGAGTATCCATAAGCCTACATTACAGTACATACATTTATTTAGCTAAAGCCAAGTATTTGAAGTAATGGGATATTATAGGGTGTTGTTGCAACCTGCAGCTGTGCCCTATGAAGTGCACAGAGGCTTGGCTGCTAGAATGGAGTTGTTTAATGTGTGAGCCTCTTGGGTTCTTGTATGGTTAGCAAAGAGGTGGACTGATATAGAAGGACTGAATGAAGCCTTGGCATATAAATTCGTTTTTACTACCAGATGAAGAAAATATATATGTATTTTTTTTTTTTAAAGTGTGATTTTAAGTTAGATTACATTTTTAAGGAAACTATAAACACAAGCACCATACCAACTACAACTGTAGTTCTCTGTTGCTCCCTCCACCATCAAACATTTTTTGACCTGTTTAACACCTTACCGGGTGTCTGCTGGACACCACTCACCACCTGAGAGCAGGAAGTTCCTAAGCAGGAATTTGGTTAGTTTTCCTCAGCCGTGCAGGGCTTAGCTCATTGGCTTATCCGAGGAGTGCTAATGGAACCTCCTGCTTAGGAACTCCTGGCTCTCCTGACACTTTCTCTCAGACTGGGTAGAGGATACAGAGGCTACATTCCCATGGTCTGCTCCATGACGCCACAAGGAGTGACTGGCTGGATGGGAAGCGCTGTGCTGTGCACTCTCCTCCTACCAGTCAAATAGATCTTGAGCCACCCGGGCCAGCTCACCCTAAGGTGGCTGCCTGTGCCACCTTTTGGATGCGTCGGCCCTGGATGTTGTTCTTTAAGACATGCTAGTTTTAGTTATATGTCACATTTAGCACTTTTATTGACAAAAAATTTTTTTTTACACACAGCAAATAGACTACTCATATTCTTTCTGTAAAACTCTTTCAAATGCTAATTTTTGTGGTTGGGATTCTGTTTGGTCGCAATCTATACCGGCCAGTGCAATGCATTGCTGACTGGTGAACTAAAACTCTACTTTGAGCTAGTGATTTTTAACTCTCAAACATCAGACATATCAGACATATCTGCACTTTCTCAAGTCTCATTGTTTAAGTACCAAGTTTTGTGGGGGAGCTATTTATTCTCAATTTCTAGGTGTTCTAATGCACTCTTCACTTAGTGATTGATGCAGTTATGCATGCTCTAAATAATCTAAACACTTACAGGAATATTAACTAAAGTGAGAATTTTAAATAATTGTATTCAGATATCTGAGTCACACATTTTGTATGTTGTTACATTTTTATTTCTGCACCCATGGTAATTTTTCAAAACATGATCAAAGCATTGCAGTTCTATGCTAATTTTCCAGAATTTATAGAAAGCATGGCTAGAAAATAATATATTTATATATTTTAATAAAGAGATTTAATTATTGAAGGGGTTAATTTATTTTAATATAGCCATTCCACATTAGAACATTAAATACTCTAAAAAATAATTTTAACAAACCTGCTATAGCATGTACAAAAGAAGCACTCTTGATCACAGTTTGTTTGGTTGTTTTGTTTTTTTGTTTAATTTTTTTTCTTTTTTTTTTTTAAAGAAATTTCCTATTTATTTATTTAACCCAGAAAAAAATACATACCACATAATGGTGGGCTTTGAAGAAAATATTTATTAATTGTTATAAAAACTAATAATTATCAGATGTAGTATTTAGACGTACCATGGCTTGAATAGAGTTGTAATTACATTTATTTTAGTGATTTATATACTATTCAGTTAGTGGTAGAGAGTTGGAAAATTAACCTAAATAACCATCCGGTAAAAAGAATTTCCAATTAAAGAGTTTGTTGTTAATTTCAATTTTCCAAACTGTTTGCCAGTTCATCAAAACTCACTTTGTAGTGAATAACCCAAGTTCCTAAAAACAAACTTTTTAAACTGGCCAAAATGTTTTTTTCCAATGCTCAGAAAATTTACCTGCGCAGTTAGTTTTCAGAAAACGTGGATGTATGTCATTAAAATCCAGGGCAATATTCTTTTATTTAGCTTTTACCATTAAACAGAGAATTCAAAGTAAATTTTAAATTTTAGGCCTAAGTAGGCGAAAGTAAAGCATGATTTAGAGATTTTTTTCCAATTTAAATATTTTAGCCTTAAATTTGAAATTCACTTTGACTAACTACTTTGTGAGCTGATATTAATGATCACTTGTCGGCTTTTTTTCCTTTTTCTGCTGTCCAGAAAAATAATTGTGCTGCATGTATTACAAATGCTCCTTCATCATCTAATAAATCTATCAAGTAATTATTTAAGTCTATGGGCATTTAACATTCCAAATGTGGATGAACCCTTTGGCAATGGTCTTTGTGTCAAAGAATTAATAACATGTCACAAATCATATTAGGGCGTTTATTCTTTATCATTTTAGAGTCAATTACATGACAAGGCTGCCTCTTAAGTATAGGAATTATTAAAATATTTCTGTATCACTGTAAATTGTGATGAATTTGCAACTGACTTGCAAAATATAGATTAAAATATCTAACTTAAACAATACAAAAAGAATATATGTCTGCCGACTTCTGCCATTCTGCTACTTCTGCTAAAAAAATTTCAGTCTGTTGTCATCTCAAATTGAGTAATTTATTTTTTTTTTTCAATAGTAAAGAGCTTTTGGGTTCAGTTTTTTTTTTCCTGCAGGGACACTGTGATATAGCATTCACATCTAAGTATAGTTCTTGGTAGTGCAGATTGTAAGTAACAAAAATAAAAATAAATAAATAAAACAAATGTCTGTCAAATCTCTGAAGTATTAATTTAAGTATTCGTTTGACAGTGTTCTGCCATACCTAGCCGATTTAAACTTCAGTTCATGATAACACTGCACAAAGCTGTGATAAATAAAAGTTATAGGCAGTGCCAAGAGAACAATACCACTGACTACACAGAGTCCTCCGAGTATCCGGCCAGGGACAGAGATAGGATACATGTCGCCGTAACCTACTGTAGTCATTGAAATAATCACCCACCAGCAAGCTGCAGGGATGCTCGAATAATCCTCGTTTTTAGTTTCAAGGTCCAATCCATGTTCAAGTAACTGAGCGAGTGCACCAAAAATTGCCATGGCCACACAAATAAATACAAGCAACATGACCATTTCTCTGTAACACCTTTTAAGAGTTAATCCAAGTGTCTGTAGGCCAATAAAGTGTCTTGCAAGCTTAATTACCCAAAATATTCTCATCATCCTCAGAACCCTTAGCGTGACTCCGGCCCTCTGCAGCTGTGGGTTCTCTCCGGTGAGAGCGGTCATGAGAACAGACACGTAATAAGGAGTGATCGCCAACAGGTCAATGATATTTAAAGGTCTTTTCACAAATTCACATTTATTCTTGGAAACAATGAATCTCACGATGCATTCTGCTGTGAACCATCCTATGCAGATCGCTTCAATTATTCTGTTGAAAGAAAACATATTGAATAATTTATTGTAACATCAACATTTAATAGAGCTTTGGCATTCCATCTCTGTACCTTAGAATTCATATAACTTCAACAAGAACATAGCAGTTTTTATTTTATTAATCCAAATACCTCATGTAGTTATTGCCGCTCCAATAACCTATAGGCATTACCTTAGAATGTGCCAGATTCTGCCTGGCATTTTGTGTTTGATGATTAATTTGTGGTGAGAATGGGCAAAAACCAGACATTTCTGCTTTGTGAGCTTTCCACGTCTGTGCTATATGCTTTCTATTTATTTTAGAAAAATATACAAGAGTTTGTTGGGTTACTGTTATATTTCTGACTGAAATTAACCCCTTAAGGACCAAACTTCTGGAATAAAAGGGAATCATGACATGTCACACGTGTCATGTGTCCTTAAGGGGTTAAAGGAAGAAATTACTTTTTTACTTCACAAAAGTCAATAGTCACATATTTCACAATTAGAAGTGCACAGTATTCAAAAATAAAAAAGAAAAGAAAAGAAATAAAAAAGAAAATGTCTGGTGTCCCCCCCCCACCCCCCCCTTCCAGAATCTCCTACAAGAGACACAAAAAAACTGTTTTTCTATTTTGATGGGAAGTATCATTTATAACAACTATAGGCCAATATTTGTTTATTGAGTGTAGGAAAAGTATCATTTAACTCTCTTCACTTCACCTCAACGTTGACACCAAGCCACCACTAGCATCACATTTTGGTCCGATTGCTTATCTGCCATCAAGGATTTTGCTAGGTTTAAAAATGACCAGAGGCTTCAGCCCGAGGGTAAATTGTATGGCCCTCCCTTCATGTATTGATGTAAACCTCTCCTGGATCCAGCCCTATACCATGTGCTAGGTCCAAACTTATTAATGAATATGTTTTATAAATCACATGGTGATACCAAATCTTTCATTGAATTGAAGAGTATTACATGCACCAATATTTATAAGTACCACACCTGCTGTATTAAACCCATGCCATGCTTTTTAATCCTTCACCTTACTGTATTAAAATCCTGCACCTTCGGAATTACCCCACACTGTGCTGCATAATGCACTCTAAATATGGTGCATTCAAATGGTATGAAAATATAAACCATATAATTGGAGGAGTCATTTCTCTCTTAGTATTACTTAGAGACCTGGGGTTAACAATGATATGGTGCCTAAATTAGACTTTAGAGGATCCCACTTAGGGCTCTAAAACCTGTCAGCCCCCTCTAGCGATACCCCCCTCTGTCATCATAACGAGATGAACGACAAGGACTCATTAACATTCAAGTTACATATGTGATGAACATAGACAATTAAAGGACCACTAAAGTCACCCAGGCCACTTCATCTCAATGAGGTGGCCTGGGAGAAGTAGTCCTGTCCTTTTTAACCCTGCAATTTAAAACATTAGAATTTTTTAGAATATGCAATGTTTACATTGCAGGCATAAATCCCCCCTAGCGGCTGTCATACTAACAGCCACTAGCGGTGTTTCCCCATCACTGACCCAGTAAAACTTGGTCACGTGATGCAGAAGCCCCCACAGGTAAGCACAACGGTTCAATGATTTCCTATGGTAAGCTTGGATGCGCATGTGGCATTCACGGCGCATGCCCATTACATTCTCAATGCTCCTCAATAGGAGAATTGGATTAGGCCATTTCTCCTCCATGACATTGCAGGAGGTAGAGAGCTAAGCAGCACAAAGGTTTCCTGGTAAAAGGTAGGTAAAAGTAAAATTTTCTTAATTTTATTCCAAAAGGCTGAGGGGCCTGAATGTACCAGGGACCCTAAAGCATTACAGGTTTGTATCTGAAGGATAATATCTGTTTTCTTTATTTTCCTTTGCAGAATTGAATTGCTTGGAAATATATAAGGGGGAAGTCAAATTCAATTAAACTGAATTGATGAGGCGGAACGGTCTGAAATTATTTGCAAGCAGTAATGGTAAGATTTGGAGCTTAAATAGTTTTTCTTTTTTTTATTTGAGCTAAATTCTTAACCTCTAATATACTTGAAAGGAAATTCATCCGTTATTAAGCAGGATGTGGTCCCTTAATTAAAATATCATTGTTAAGTAACATTTTCATACAAATTTCATATTAGTTTAACACTGAAAACCCTAATGTTCATCAGACCCCTAAACATAAATCTAGGTTAGATTAGCTGATTGGAAGAAAAAGTTTAAGCTGACGTTGGTTGAAAACGCACAACTCACTGTTTATTGAATAAATTCCTCGGACATCACGCTGTCTTATTCCCAGTCTGCTCTGGGAGAACTCAACCTAATGCCACCCACTTTCTCCCCACTTAAATCAAACTTCAAAGCAATCCATAGCATATGTACCGTGCCACGTTAACCCTCACGATGCCAGAGTCATGGAAAGCAATATGCACCACTTTTTATTAAACATAGAGTATAACATAATATCAAAGCAAAGATTTTTATGCACAGATTGATTGTCAGGCATAGCAAGACATTTAAAAGCAATTAGATTTATATGAAGATTTATTTAAGTTGTTGAGGAAATATTGGAAATATAGATTGATAGTGGATTTGATGTATCTCTAAGTTTACAATCCTAACCAAAGATTGATTTTTACGATGCACAGCATTTACGATGTCCAAAATCAACACCAATGTTCAAATGCCCTCAGTTTACTTTAAGAAATCAGCTTCCATGTTTAGGAATTAATATTCCCCAAAATGACAGCATAATATGAAATATTGACAACACATTTTAATTTCAATAACATACTTATTTTTTTTTAAGCAAAACTAAAACGAATGTGTCTGCTTTGAAGCATGCATTTAAAGGGTGCATAAAGGACTGTGTACAGTGAGGTCGTACAATAAGGATTTCTAAAGTGACATCATTTAATGCTTACACAATGATATTCTTCCTGTTTTACAAATGCGATATGTAATTATACAGGTTGTAATATATTTTACTAATAAATATTGTTGTGACAAAAAAAGCATGTGAACCAATTAGAATTATCACAGTTTCCAGCTATAAAATGTTAGCAGGTTTTTAATCGAAATCCTATCAATAATTAAAGTATTGTAATGATGATCTACAAACAAGGTGCATTGTTAACATGTGTTTCTTAATAATTGCTTTAAGGTTTAATATTATAATTTGAAAATGTGAATCATTATATGCACTCTAAAGTTGTGCTTACCCTTAGAGGGGCAATGATCAGTAAGAATCTCATGGAACTGCTCGTCAGTGTCTCTTAATGAGTTTAATGAGTTTTTGGATTAGTCCTCCATACACAACTGCGTCACCTCTGCGATATTTTAAGTCATTTGGTTGGAGCTTAGTGATTGACCTTGTGTGTGTTCAATCAAAATCCATTGATCTAATGTTCCGTTTGATAAGATCTTACACCAATAAGCCAAAATGTAGAGACCTAGAAAGTTGGCAAGTTTTTATTTATTAATGTATAACATATGGGGTAGGACATGTGCAGAATAATTGGCATTTCAGTCAATATAATAAATGAAAAAAATAATGAATACAACACAATACAAACTTTAGAAAAATGTGATTTGAAAAATACTAACTGTGTTATTTTACAAAGTAAAACTTTTGTGATTTTGAAGAGGCAAAGCAATTGATTCTGCCTAAATGAACCTTTTTGACCAGATCACAAATTGTTTTTTTTTCAGGTAGTAAAGCTGCCACTGACAGCATCATAAACTAACTTAAGACCTTCAATAGAATGGATCATAGTAATTCTCCTTCAATCACATCATAAACTTTTGATAGCCGCACTGCTATATGGAACATTTAGCGAAGGATAAGTTTAGAAATGATGTTTGCCAGCAAGTAAATACTTAAACTTCACATTGTATTCACAACCAGACTGGCTGGCTCAATCTCCTGGGATGATCCACACTACAGCATATTAGTTACAAGGATAACAAAAACATTATTGCATGTCTGATTATCTTGTGGTTGAACCAAATTCATATCTTGCATCTTGGCATGCCTAGAAAACTATTCTCCCCCCTACAAGTCATAATTAAAAGAACACTACAGTCACCAGAACAACTACAACTTATTGTATTTGTTCTGGTGAGTATAATCATTGCCTTCAGGCTTTTTGCAGAGAAAATGCAGTGTTTACATTACATTATTGTTATTGTGTATTTTACTTATTAAAGATCTTTTGGACAATTTTTATTGTGCCAATCATCTTTATAATACACCTTAAATTTTATTTAATTCCTGGCATTTTTATTACCCTGGACTCCAAGCAATCCGCAGTGGGGATTATTCCACCTACGCTATCACCAAGGAGCAGTCTGTCTGCTCCATCCTTGTGAGTAGCATTTTATACTTATTTTATTTCTATATCATTTTTAATCAGAGAGCACTATTGGTTGTCTCCTTTTATTCTTTTTGAGTGGTCCACACACCTTTGAAGAAAGAAGGTTGCATCATATCCCATAAGCGGGGATTATACCGCTGTACGCTTTCGATACTAGAGTTAGCTATAGCTCTAAAAAACATGAGTGCATTACCATCTTCTTCTACCATTTATCGTACCCTAATGAACATATTACACTATTTGTTCTTTTATCTGTTTTATCTTTTCATATTATTGGATCCCCCTGAGGAAGGACAGCGAGAATATTGCTCCTGATCAAGCAAAGCACAGACTATTTGATCTAAGGAATATCTAATTTTAGTTAAGATTTTTATATTTATATTTGGACTACCTTACTATCTATTATCTATTGGTTATATTTGGTGCAGCTTTTATCTTTGTTCTTTTGTTGTTGTATTTTAAGGGTTCTGAGGGATTCCCTTCAAAGGCTGCTGCCTCATTTTGTTATTAAGCGCTTACTCTTTATTTTTGTTTTTACATTACAACCTAGTGAAAACTCCACTGCCACTCCTCGGATGGCTGCCAGATGTGCTTCCCAATGTGCCGCACTGCAATTCAGTGTCTCCACCTGTTGCATGGAGACACTGGTCAGGGCTGTGTTTGACTTGTGCTGGCTCTGCCCCTGATTTTCCTCCTTGACAATCTTAGCCAATCCTATGTGAAAGCATGTGATTGGCTTAGACCACCACTTCAGATGATGTCAGCCAAGCAGGCAGATCAGAGGCAGAGGCAGCAGCTGCAGACTTGCATACAAATAAGATTTTACTATATTAAGGGAGGCATGGGGGGACCAGGGGAGGCTAGATGGTGGTTTTAACACTATAGGGTTTGTGAATACATGTTTGTGTTCCTGACCCTATAGTGTTTCTTTAAGCACACATTTAGGTATCATTGCTCATGTATAGATGTTCAAACTCAACAAAGGTGAACTCAACATTTGCAGGATTTCCAGAGAACATCATGCAACAATCAAATTCTTCACTGCAGGTAACGCGACTCTTCATGTACTGACTTAATCACCTACAGAAGATGCACATTCATAATTACAACACTCATCAAGATAAAGCCAAAAAAAGAAGAGGTAGAGGACTTATTTCAGTAAAATTAAAAATATGGTCCCTTTTAGTTGACTATTAAGACTATGCTGAGTTAATCTTTATTCTTGACACATCAAGGTAAAGCCAAACAAGAAGAGGTTCATGACCTCAATCATAAGATGAACAATGTCAGTACTGGAAGTGTGTCTCTTACTAGAACTACTAGGACTATATAGAACTACTCTATATTCTGGAAAACATGGATCCTTTACTAATTTTCCAAGCTTCCTGACCATGATATAGCAGGGACAGAGTGGGAGCTGGAAACACATGCTTGGTGCAGATTAGATTTGTGCATACAGCTTCAAACAAATTGTTTGAAGCTGTATGGTGCAGGAAGGAGGGTTTTGGGTTTTTAGAGCACTGGGCCGACTTTGCGATTGGGTACAACCTTTATAGTGGTGATGGATTGCACCTAAACGGGAGAGGGTCTGCAGTGCTGGGGGATAGGATGGCTAGAAGGTTGGAGGAGATTTTAAACTAGTAGTAGGGGGGGAGGGTCATAGCAATCTACAAAATGGAGATAGGACAGAAAGGAGATGGGCTTTAGCACAGTAAAGGGGGGTGGAAACGGGGGGAGGGGCAAGCTCAGAACAGAGAAGCTGTGTAATGTTGAAAATTCACAAAATATACAAGTGATGCATAATATTAAATGTATGCTTACTAATGCAAGGAGCCTAAATAACAAAATGGGGGAACTAGAGGCATTAGCATACACTAAACAATATGATATAATAGACATAACTGAAACATGGTGGGATGAGACACATGACTGGGCAGCTAACTTAAATGGGTACACGTTATTTAGGAAGGATAGGAAAAACAAGAAGGGTGGTGGGGTATGTTTGTATGTCAAACATGATTTAAAGCCAAATGTTAAGCAAATGGAATGCGAGGAGGATAATGTGGAAGCTTTATGGGTAAATATCTGCTTGGGGAAAAGAAGGGAAACCAACTATTGGTTGGGATATGTTATAAACCACCTAATGTTAATATTGACGAGGAACAACAGCTGTTTGAGCAAATTGAGAAAGCTGCAAATCTGGGTAACACTTTAATTATTGGAGATTTTAATTACCCGGATATAAATTGGGACAGAGGGACTAGTGCCTCAGCAAAGGGAATTGGGTTTTTAAACTTGTTAAATGACACCTTCATGTCACAACTTGTACAAGCACCAACTAGAATGGATGCTTGTCTGGACCTGGTTTTAACAAACAACGTTGATCTTTTGACCAACATTCAAGTAGGTGAGCACTTGGGAAATAGTGATCACAATATAGTGTCCTTTGAAATAAACTCAAAAAAACAAAAGCACATGGGGAATACTAAAACATATAATTTTAAAAAGGCCAATTTCAATAAGTTAAGGGAAGCTTTACAATATATTGACTGGCATAAACTCTTTAGTGAAAAGAACACTGAGGATAAATGGATCATCTTCCAACAAATATTACAAAGGTACATTTCTCAGTATGTACCGTTGGGAAATAAATATAAAAGAAACAAATTAAAACCAATGTGGCTTAGTAGAGAAGTAAAACAAGAGATTACAACTAAGAGAAGGGCATTTAAAGCATTTAAATCGGACAAATCAGATGCATCTTATAAAAGATATAAGGATGCAAATAATGCGTGCAAAAAGGCAATTAGACTTGCTAAACTTCAAAATGAAATAATGATAGCTGAAGAGAGCAAAACCAACCCCAAAGCATTTTTTAAGTACATAAATTCTAAAAAAAACAAAATGAAAGTGTAGGTACACTAAAAACTGAAACGGGGGTGTTAGTTAATGAAGACCAGGAAAAGGCAGGAATTTTAAATAACTATTTCTCCTCCGTATATATTAAGGAAGAACCCATGGCAATAGATGTGCAAATGATTGCTACTAAAAACTTGCAGAATAATTGTAATTGATTAACTCAAGACAAGGTGCTGCAGCAACTAAAGAAAGTTAATATAAACAAAGCTCCAGGGCCTGACGGTATCCATCCACGTGTACTTAAGGAACTAAGTGCAGAAATAAGTGAACCTCTGTTTTTAATCTTTCAAGATTCTTTTCTTTCAGGAAGTGTTCCGGAGGATTGGAGGAAGGCAGATGTGGTTCCTATATTCAAAAAGGGTTCAAAATCCTTGCCTGGAAATTATAGACCTGTGAGCTTAACTTCTGTGGCTGGTAAAATATTTGAAAGGTTATTAAGGGATAATATTCAAGAATTCCTTGAGAAGAACATGGTTATCAGCAAAAAGTATAGATCAGAATTGTTACGTGGATCGTCCTTTGCGTTTGACATTTTGATACAGTTCCACACAATAGATTAGTGTTCAAACTCAAGGAAATAGGTCTAGATGAAAATGCTTGTTCTTGGGTAGAACATTGGCTTAAAAACAGAGTACAAAGAGTTGTCATTAATGGTAGATTTTCAAGCTGGACAGAGGTGGCAAGTGGTGTCCCTCAGGGGTCTGTTCTGGGACCCCTTCTATTTAACATGTTTATAAATGATCTAGAAGACCGCATTGAAAGTCATGTTTCAGTGTTTGCAGATGACACCAAACTTTGTAAAACAATACAATGTGAGCAAGATATTACTTTACTGCAGAGGGATTTAGATAGACTGGGGGACTGGGCACTCAAATGGCAGATGAAATTTACTGTTGAAAAATGCAAAGTTATGCACTTCGGCGTAAAGAATACACAAGCAACGTATACCCTTAATGGAAGCGAATTAGGGATAACAACACATGAAAAGGACTTTGGAATTGTTATAGACAACAAACTATGCAACAATGTGCAATGTCAATCAGCAGTGGCCAAGGCCAGTAAGGTATTGTCATGCATGAAAAAGGGCATTCATTCTCGGGACAAGAATATAATTTTACCTCTTTATAAATCACTGGTAAGACCCCATATTGAATATGCTGTGCAATTTTGGGCACCTGTTCTAAAGAAGGATATTATGGCACTAGAAAAAGTGCAGAGGCGGGCTAAAAAATTAATAAAAGGAATGGAACATATCAGCTATGAAGAAAGGTTAACAAATTTAAACCTATTTAGTTTAGAAAAACGTCGCCTGAGAGGGGATATGATAACAGTATACAAATATATTCGGGGCCAATACAAACCATTGTGTGGAAATCTATTCACAAACCGGACTTTACATAGGACACGAGGCCATGAGTTTAGACTGGAAGAAAGAAGATTTCGCCTAAGGCAAAGGAAAGGTTTTTTTACTGTAAGAACAATCAGAATGTGGAATTCTCTGCCTGAGGAAGTGGTTTTATCAGAGTCCATACAGATGTTCAAACGGCTACTAGATGCATACTTGCAAGAACAGAATATTCAAGGATATAATCTTCAATGTAGGGTAATAACTGCTTGATCCAAGGATAAATCTGACTGCCATTCTGGGGTCAAGAAGGAATTTTTTTCCTAGCTTGTTGCAAAATTGTGCTTCAAACTGGGTTTTTTTGCCTTCTTTTGGATCAACAGCAAAAAACAAATGTGAGGTAGGCTGAACTTGATGGACGCAAGTCTCTTTTCAGCTATGTAACTATGTAACTATGTAACTATGTGATTTTCACAAATTTTGTCTGACATTTAGTCTGAAATACTACATGGACGATTCACTAAATAAGCGAAACATACAAAGGGCCAACGGTTTTGTTAGTTTTGTGATTCAGAGATACATCTATGGATCCATGGTGCCAAATAAAAAAAAGATGATTGATGAAAAAATAGATGATTGATGGCTAGCAGACAGCCCATAAATATTGATTTTATTCACAGATCAAGTGAGTATTGACCAATACAGAGAAAAACACAAGGGTCAGTAAAACAATATCTATATTTCTAAATTATATATTTAATAAATATATATATATTTTTTTAATGCTCCTTACTTCTTTTTACTTGATCAGCAATACAAATGGCAAAAAATGCACCTATCAGTATGCTGCAAAATATAATCATAATATTTATATTTTGCAGTTCACAGATTGGCCAATTTTGGCACCATTTTGTTTTTTCCAAAGTGGAAAGTCACATGGACAAAATCCGAATTGTGCAAAACTATTTTTTACAGACCAAACTACTGAGCCTCAGTCTAACATATGCTGCATCCCCCTACCCCTATGTAGCCCTTCATATTACATAAGTATATTTGAGTATTTACCAATGTGTGTAAGCATATACAATGAAAATAGAATAGGCTCAACACTTATGTGAAGGATCCCCTTAACCCTCACAATCAAATGTAATTAAAAAAAAAAAAAGGGTGTAAGTGGAGCTCTACAGTACCTGAATAAAAGATGAATACACTGGTTGTAGTTTTTTACAGAAATCTGTGAACAATATATAACACATTTATAGTGCAGGTGGTACATACAATAAAAAGTAGGTATAGGTATGACAATTCACAACTCACAAGTAAAGAGCCAACTGGTTAGTGTGTAGCAGTTTGGGATCTTTTAGGGGAGATCCACAGCCCTCTTTTGTCTCCTTCTGATCTCCTTCACGTCCAAATTTATTTGCAGGAATGGACAGGAAGACTCCAATAGTAAAAGTTAACACATTTATTGTAAAAAACAAATAAAAATAACATGATCTACTGATTTTTATTTGGTTTTTACAAAACATTTGTTAAAGGGACGCTATAGTCACCTGAACAACTTCAGCTTAATGAGGTTGTTCAGGTGAGAACTATAGATCCCTGCAGAGAAAATACAGTGTTTACATTGAAAGCTAGGAACAGCTCCAGTTGCAGTCACTCAGAGTGAACCAGAGGGACTTCGGAGTTGATGGATGCATAATATGCCTCCATCCACTCAGATCTGTTGTCAGCAGAGCACAGGGCAGCACTGTGCACAGCATCCTGTGATTCAGTGTCTCCTCCCTCTGCATGCAGACACTGAATTTTCCTCATAGAGATTCATTGATTCAATTCATCTCTATGAAGAGATGCTGATTGGGCTGTGTTTGAATCATGTTGGCCTCTTTGTCAGTCTCAGCCAATCCTATGGGGAAGCATTGTGATTGGAAAAGGCTACCACATGTCAGCAGACTGCTTGTTTTTCTGAGTCTAACAGCATGCAGATTTACAGCTTCTGGCTTGAATACAGTAAGATTTTTACTATATTTATGGAGGCATGAGGGGCCCAGGGGGGCTAGATGGTGGTGTTAACACTATAGGGTCAGGAATACATGTTTGTGTTCGTGACCCTCTAGTGATCCTTTAACTTCTACTACTGGAGTCTTCCTGTCCATTCCTGCAAACAAATTTGGATGTGAAGGAGATCAGAAGGAGAGAAAATAGGGCTGTGGATCTCCCCTAAAAAATCCTAAAGGGCTACAAACTAGAGCCAGGTGACCAGTTGGCTCTTTACTTGTGAGTTGTGAATTGTCGTACCTATACCTACTTTTTATTGTATGTACTATCTGCACTATGAATGTGTTATATATTGTTCACAGATTTCTGGAAAAAACTACAACCAGTGTATTTATCTTTTATTCAGGTACTGTAGAGCTCCTCTTTTACCTTTTTCTTTTCTTTTTTTATTATATTATATTTGAGTATTAGCTGAATGCAGTCAAACACCTGTAAACCTTGTATGACACATACATCGTTCTATCCATTAAACCATTAACACACTTACAAGGTCTTGCTCTATCACCATGACAACTTAATATTGTTGTATTTCTATTGATTGTTTTTTTTTCCCCATACACTTCTCATGTAGCATTCAGTTCTTGTCATCATGCAAAAATAAATTTGCATGCTTTGCCTGTTTTCAGGTAAGACTTTACTAAATGTCGTGCCGGTGTGAGATGTAATCCATCAAAAGTAGCCAAACATAGAATTGCCATTAGAGAAGGATGTTTGCCTGTAATGTAGTAATCATTGAGGTTTATTCAATAAAACTGAAATTATTGGGGAATTAACAAAGGAACTGCAACAACTTTAGCATGTAGCAAAGAAACACACGCACACACACACGGTTACTTTTTATGTGAAGACTTGAAGATCACAAATATATTTCTTAATTGCCAGCAAAATAACCTATATAATGCTGCTCTCTTTTGATACTCATAAAGCTATATTTTAGAGGATCATGAAAAGGTCAGTGTTGAACGTATTGTATCTTGTTTTCCTGCAGTAACGCGTGTTGAGTGTAGCTGTACTGAGCACATGACCTTGGTATGTGAAATGTACTTTCTCATAACAGCTCCAGCTAATGTCATTTTTATTTACACTTGAGGTTTTTTTATAGGTTGTTAGAGACTGCATTTCTCTTTGGGTGTCAAGTATCCAGATCTCTGTAGGGTGTCTCTGGAAAGTAAACATTGATGAATTATTAAAACGTGAATTAAAGGAAATCTGTAGTGTAAGGAATACAATTCCTAAAACTATAGTGTTCTCCTCACCATTTAGATTAATTCATCCAAATAAAAAAAGGGAAAAAAGGGTACTACTTACCTTTTTCCAACATTACCTTTGTCTCTGTAGCCTCCCGATCTTATTTGAGATAATGCTCTGTAGTGGAAAAATATTGATGCATGTCTCCCCCAGTGTCTCCATGTATCCCAGTGTTCCCAAGTTTCTCATTTTCCCAAGTCTACCAGTGCCCCCTTGTATCTCAGTGTCCCCATGTCTCACAGTGTCCCAATGTATCAGTGTACTAGTGACATGGGGACACTGGGAGACATAGGCACACAAACACTAAGGGACACTGGGAGACATGGGGACACAGACACTAGAGGACACTGGGCGACATGGGGACAAAGAGACACTTGGGGACACTGAGAGACATGGGGACACTGGGCGACTTTGAGACACGAGAGACATGGGGCACTGAGACACTGTGATACACAGGGGACACTGTGATACATAGGTGACACTGGAGACCTGGGGACACAGACACTAGGGGACACTGAAGCACTGGGAGATTGGGGGACTGGGAGACTAGAGGATACTGGAAGACATGGGGACACTGTGACTCTGGGCAACATGGGAACACTGAGACACTGGGAGACTTGGGGACACTGAGACACTGGGTGACATGGGGACACTGAGAGACTAGGGGACATAGGTAGTCATGGGGACACTTGGAGACATGTGAGACACTGGGAGCAATGCATATATACAGTAGAATCAAACTGTAAGTAGGTTTTTGGTGATTTTACTAAATTATCTCTTACGTCACTGACTCATGTGATGTCACGCATACAACATGTATTATGCAAGTTAGTAAGGCTGGTATTTTTTTTTCAAAGAAAGGTGGCAACCTTAACTAATTTTCACATACTCTTGCTTAAGTATAGACACTTTAGAGAGATGTAGAGGAACAAAACTTGTGTGGACTGGCTGACAATGAAATGAGTTAAGGTAATGCTGACTTTGGTCTCTCTAACATACTGGCATGCTCCCTTTCTTCTACACTCACTACAAACACATACTCTCTGTCCCAGACTATATACCGGGAGCTTCTGCCTGCTAGTAAGAAAGTAAGACGACAAGTTTTCATGTGACTGCTAGGGGACAGTCCTTAGAAAAAGTGGAGCGAGTGCATCATTAGACGCATTTGTGCCAACATCCTATGATGTTCCCTCCATAACCACCTCCACCAGATACATGAGGCTTGGGAGGTATGACTGTTTTAGTGTTTTTCATCGATAAGATTTTGTAATTAGGCCTATCATAATTGTCAGTTTCAGGCCCACTGGGCTCTTAATCTGGCCCTGGGCCCTACTATATGTGTGCTGTTTAGTGCGGCTGAGTGGAGGCATGCTGTTGCAACCTCTATTTACTGGGTGAGCCCTCGCCTATTTTATTTGGCCACTGTTCAGAGTACAACCCTGCAGGGGATTCTGTGAGCACCGCCTACTACTGCGGTAGGCTGATCTGTTTACTCTGCATCCTGTGACTGCCTACTGGTTTATGCCATCTACAGGGATATCCCATATCACTATAAACCTACCTGCCTGTTTCTTTCTGGGGATCCCCAGGTAACTGAAGGTGGTGGTGCCTCGCACGCTACTGACTGAGAAGACACGGAAACGACCCTGGACCTTACTGGTCAATGGCTGTGTAACCTACACATCCGTCACCCACGTTCGAGAGACTGGTCCCCTCTCGACCACCTGGCTACTTTATGCACCTGTGGCTTTGAAGCCTCTAGATAAAGATGTCCAAAACCGGTTGCGGTCGGACAACCGATGCCCTTCCCTCCCAGAAAGAACGGCACAGATGACTGCATTTGACCAGCGGATGATGTCCTTCATTGTTCTGGGTGACCGCAACTCTGCAGGGGAGTCAGGAGAGGTCTCAAGACTAACTGCTAGACTCTATTGACCCTATCATGAGTATAATGCCGGACACTGCCAACACCATCTGGGAATGGGCTCACGATATTCATGAATGGGTTTTGAGATGTATCTGTTTTGCCAGAAAACCAGTGTTCGCCTCTCCTATGGGAAGCGCATAGCAGCACTCCTCCATATTGACACATGGTTGGTTGATCTGGGCGCCAAATCACTGGACCCCAGACACAAGGCATAATTTTCCTGAGGGAAGTTATTACACATGTTTATGGTCCCGCTTCCCTCATCAAGACCCAAACCTCCATGAGGAAGGTGTTATGTGGTAACCTCAGTAAGGGGTGTTCTTTGGGACTGGTTGACAGTGGGGTTTGTCGCCAACCGCTTCGGGACATCTAACCTGGTACCCTGCTATCGCTAACGTTATTACCTGTATAGAGCGAGAGTTAACCTTAATTAAAGGATCTTAACATATATAGCTTGGAGGAAAGACGAGATAGGGGGGATATGATAGAAACATTTAAATACATAAAGGGAATCAACACAGTAAAGGAGGAGACTATATTTAACCCCTTAAGGACCAAACTTCTGGAATAAAAGGGAATCATGACATGTCACACATGTCATGTGTCCTTAGGGGTTAAAAGAAGAAAAACTACCACAACAAGAGGGCATAGTCTTAAATTACAGGGGCAAAGGTTTAAAAATAATATTAGGAAATATTACTTTACTGAGAGGGAAGTGGATGCATGGAATAGCCTTACAGCAGAAGTGGTAGAGGTTAACACAGTGAGGGAGTTCCAGCATGCATGGAATAGGCATAAGGCTATCCTAGACTTAAGATAAGGCCAGGGACTAATTAAAAGTATTTCAAAATACTGGGCAGACTAGTTGGGCCGAACGGTTCTTATTTGCTGTCACATTCTATGTTTCTATGTTTCTATGGTGCTCAAGATGACCGGACAGAGAACACAGAATGCGCAGATTCGCTAGGTACTGTTTTCCTCAGGTGAGCGCCCCTAGGGTACCATTGAATATACTTTCTACTACACCCACAGGAGATTCCATCGCATCTAGGTGGAAGGCATTCAAACTTAATTAGGACCCTTTTCACGTAGATGACTGGCTTGCGAAACTGGATATGAAGACACGTTATGTTGATCCTTTTCCATTGCTCTTGACAACGCTATCTAGGTTTTCTGTGACATGAGCAACCTCTGCTCTTCACCTGACCCCTCAACACGGATCCTTGGGGGCTTCGTGAAACTACCGAAATCAGTGATCAATTACGTGTGAGGAAGGCATGTCATTATCTTCCTGAACAATCTCCTTCGGGTCGATTCAGGGAACGACAGTGCACAATGGTGATCGCACTCCGGCCAACTGGGCCTCCCGGGGAACGTATGCTTTACCCTTCTTGCAATGTTTGAAAAAATTCTCCATCATCTCATTGTTCAGCGAATAACACCGCCTTGGCCGTCCCGCTGTGACAGAGTCGACCTTGTTTCCCGGTTTGGATCTCCTCCTCCTACATTCATATCCTACTATTTCTCACGGACCCAAAGGAAACCCACATCTTCTATTCCTGGAGGATTGGCTGCCCTGGTGACCTGGACTCTTTCTGGGGTTCTTGGCAGAACGGCGGACTATCACAGGCTGCTGGGGACCTATTAGGAGTCTCTTGGGCCCCAGGGACATGACTTTGCTACCTCTCCATCTGGGCGTTCCCGGTCTGATTGGTGTTCGGAACTGTACCTTGATCCATTATGTGGTGGTGTGGACAGCTCAACGGCCCGTGTCCCGGTCTGGGGACTCCCGATGGACTAGGATCCTCTTGTGTACCAACTACCTAGTGACATCCACCTCCGGCTTATGGGATGTGGAGGTCGTTCTCCAATTTCTCTACGGGACTGAACATCTGCTGATGGATTTTTATGCTTGGTCTGGTGGCTATCCGTCAGGTACCGGATGTTCGGGCATTCGGAGGAGAGGTTTCTCCCATAGCCCCGACGTGCTAGGTTTCTCGTCGCACTTTCGGATTCTTCCTTAGTTTTCCATTCTTTTCTCAGCATTAAAAATGCTAAATATGAAGCCTCCTGTCATGTTGTAAAATTGAAGATTATGCTAGCTTTAGTGTACTAATAATCTTAATTTTAGTAATGACAGGAGGCGAGTATTTTCACTCCTTGCTTCACTAGCCCACCCTTTTGTTTGTTTTCTTTATATATGTCACTGGTCTAAGGTAGGTTGGGCTCTGAATGTTTTGTGTTTACATCAATGATTTTATTGCCTTTGGCAAGGAATTGTCATTGGAATTACATAGTTATTTAATTATCAGATTGTAATTTACAATTTACTACTATTGAATGATGTGTATGGTACGTTACTTGGATTTCCACCTTCATGACTATGTGTCAAAACCTAGACATTTGGTTGTTCATGTGAAATTCTCTGGAAGTTTGCCCCTTTGGATTTTGTTCGTCCCTGAACACATTTTGGTTGTTTGTGTGGAATCCAAGGTGAAGTTTGCTCCGTTGGATGTTGGATTTAGGAGTTATTATTATTGCTTGTTATATGCTTGCTTCTGCTTGATGTCGCGTTGTGAAAGAGGAAGTGATTAGGTCATTACACTTCATGTACATCCTACTCTCTTGTGATTGGTTCTTTTTTTCTATGTGTATCTATGCTGCTGTGGAGCTAGTAAAGAGAGATTATGCAAAATACTCGCCTCCTGTCATTACTAAAATTAAGATTATTAATACACTAAAGCTGGTACAATCTTCAATTTCCTTTCAAAATTTGCTGAATGGATAATTAAAAAAAAGATAACTGACAGTTTTTCTTTAAGTAGCCTAAATTCTAGAAATCTTAGTTTTACGGTTTGGTAATGTCAGCTTAAAGTCACTGATAGTATGTCTTCATATGAAGCAGAATCCCCCACATTGTCATTAGCCATGTACCTCTTTATATGTTAAACTGAACCATTGCTTTCGTCATTTGCATCAGACATCTCAGGTTAGTATGTCATGCTAATGAGAATTTCCACCTCTTGGGAACATTTTGGGGTTTGCCCTAAAGACTCGAAGAAATCAGTGTTCAGCAAATGCAATGCCCTCTTTCCTGACAGCAAGAAATATAAATAGCTCAGCAAACTCCCTGTTCACATCAACCTTCTTCTTGAACTGATCTGCCTATTCCCATTTTAGTCTCAATTATTCTTGTGGCAAATCCTTGTCACTAAGATTGCTTTGTGCTGTGTATCACACCCAACGATAGTGAGATCATTGTTCTATCTATAATTACAGGTATTCTCCAGGTGATAACATTTATGTTAAATGCACAAAATACAATCAATACATGTAATATATATAATATGGTATAATAAATATATATATACATATATATATATATATATATATATAGAGAGAGTTAATACAATGTTAAACAAAAATCTGCACACCAGTCAACCACTCATAGACAGCTGATTTATTGTTAATGCAAATCATCAGCATGAGATTGGTTACTGGCTGGCTAGTGAGGCTTGGCTGTATTTGCGAAGTAAAAACTAAAAAAGGTATGGTGGGGAAGAATTGTGATTGAAAACCCCTTCCACCTGAAGTCTGTGGATAGTTACTACAATGTTAAACAAAAATCTGCACATCACTCAAGCCATAAGACTTGCTTTTCCCACAGGAATCACAAATTTGCAGTGATGGTACTACCGCAAAGGATTCTGGGTGGGCATATGCAAATTAGTTCAACATAGAATCACATGTTTGCCTCAATCCATTTTAAACATGTGATTCTTTGTTGAACTAATTTGCATATGCCTACCCAGAATCCTTTGCGGTAGTAACATCACTGCAAATTTGTGATTCCTGTGGGAAAAGCAAATTTTATGGCTTGACTAGTGTGCAGATTTGTTTTTAACATTGTATTAACTATCCACAGACTTCAAGTGGAAGGGGTTTTCAATCACAATTTTTCCCCACCATACCTTTTTTGGTTTTTGCTTCGTATATATAATAAGATATAAAATGAAAATCTTCTATCACAGTTTTTTTTCCTTTTGTGATCCTTTGGTGTTTATGCACTAAACTGTAAGTTGTGGTGCTTAAAGGGACACTCCAAAACTATATGTGAAGAGTGTGTTCCCTTTTTTGTTCATTTTGCCAAAAGTTCAAATTTCAATAGAAATTTACACTTTTAAAAATTAACTTGGATACACCCCCTTGGCTTTTAAGCAGGCAACAGGTCCTGTTACTTCCTGGTTTACTCAGGTCAGTGGAGCTAAAATCAAGAGGCAGCAATTGCTCAAAGCATCTGCCTTGCATAAATGTCTCATTGACCTGCACTGGTAAGTCTTCGATTGGACAGCTGCAGCAAGTATTGGCAGGATTAGAAGGGGAGGGTTTGCAAAGGCTTTACACAAGAGAACTGCAGGTTTTCAAGCTGTTTTTAGATATACCCCCAATGCATGTTTTCATTTTAGTTACATCTACAAAACAGTGTTTTTTTTTAAAATTTAAATTAGTATTTCAGCAGTGGAGTGTCCCTTTAAACAACGGACTTCCAAAATTAACTCCAAAATATCATTGTTAAAAATAATGAAACTATGTTTTTGAGAATTTATCCAAGATGACTAAACTAGCCTCCATTTTGTAAATGGGCTGTCAACTGCCCAAAACTCACTATTCAGTAACCCCTTTTTATATATATTATATATATATATATATATATATATATATATACAGAGAGAGAGAGAGAGAGAGAGCATAATTCTATAAATACAGGATTAAAAGCAAATAAGCATTGTAAACCATGCACATAAAAAACCCAGACTGGATTTGTAGGTTAGAATTTAAAGTGGAGTTAATCGTGACCAAAAGTTTAGAATGTTAGCACAATCTATCATGCTAATGTAGATGTAGAAGAAGGGAGACGTTAACAGTGTGTCTAAAGCTTTATATTAAATTACAAAATTAACAAAGTATATGAGAAATTGTACATAATAAATAATACACGAAGATGTTTCATTGATGATACATAATTTAACTATGAGCAACACTGAGCTTGTCAATTATATCTGTGTACTTTGAGTTATTGCACTTTATTATTTATGTACTTTTGATATAATCCACTAAGTGTTAATTAGAACTGGGCAACAACATGCATTTCGTCTTTACAGGGATATTCACCTAGTCCTTTTCACTTATGATGTTCCTTATAATATGGCTGTATTAACCTTTGGGTGATATGAAGCTTAGCCTTAGTGCCAAAGTTACTCAACAGCTTTAATACATATAATATTTATATAATCAATAAATATCAGTAAGCACTACATTTGTGAGTCCTTTAAGAGATCCCTCTCTACATACCTCAAAACAGAATGCACCTGTCATAATTATATATTTCCTACCTGTTCTATGTTAAATTTTGTATTTATTGTGTGTTAATATTGTTTTTGTATTTTATTGTATCCCATTGTAACAATGTAATGTTTTGTGGACCCAGGACATCTCAATGTATCTTTCCTGGTAAAATATTTTATAAATAAATTTGACAAAAGCATGTGACAATAGTGGTCAGTGCTATTTGATCGTATATTCCCGTCATTGTAATCACTTTGCATGATCACTAAAATACATCTCACTAATGGTAAGAGCTATTTGGGCTTACAGTGTCATAACTAACAACATGTCACTTGTAAAAAAAAATAGCTATTTGATGTCTTCAGAGCAGTCCTCAAATTCATAGCTCCAACTTGCAGCAGACACTGGTGAAGTTTTAAGACAATGGGGATCAGACTCTTTCCCTATAATTTTAGTACTCCCTGTATAGTACAGAGATACTCATACAATACAGAGAGCTGAACATAATACAGAGATGCTCATACAATAAAACAAGCTGGGCACAAGATAAACATTACTATAAAATACTGTAGACCACTAAAGGGTTAAAAAGAGACAACAAATAGTGTTCACTGTATAAAAGGATGATAGGAGTATATATATAGAAATGTTTACTCACATTTAATTGAGCAGGCAGACTGGTCAATGGATCAAGCGCGACTGGTATAATCCCCAGCTTGGATTTCTTGGAGTAATACTCAACTAGAATGGTAAAATCCTTATTTTACAACAGAATTAAAGTATCCACAACGCTTTCACCTATATGGCTTACTCAAATGGAGATAAAAAAATCATCACTTGAGAAAGCCATAGAGGCAAAACGCGTTGTGGATATTTTAATTCTGTTGTTAAATAAAGACTATATCAGTCTAGTTTAGTATTACTCCAAGAAATCTAAGCTGGGGATTATACCAGTTACGCTGTATTCTATTCATACTAGTTCAAATGCACAACTTGCCAGGAGGATAACCTACTACACTTGAGTTGGACCATATTTGACCCTAAATTTGTTTTCATTCTGATTTTTATAGGACGTATTGCACTATTATCTTTTCTCTGTTTCCACATACGGATCTCTACAAGTTGTCTTTATTCGGCTCCTTTTACAAACATTCTTCCTCAAAGACCGTTGGTTATCCTCCTGGCAAGTTGTGCATTTAGACTCTTATTTTCTATTTTGTATTTTTTTTCTGCTATTGATTGTGATCTATTACCATTATCATTGTTATTGGACTCTTTTTTTATATTTTTTATATTTTATATCATTTTAATATTACTTCCATCATCTTTCTATGTAGTTTGTTATTTGGCGCAATCCTTTTTTCTATTTATCTCGCAATACAAAGATACCTATATGATCCACAGAGCTGGGTAAACTACATAGATACTCATACAACAGGAAGAGCTGAGTAAAATACTTAGAAATCTCACTCTCTCTATCTCTCTAGCCATCTCTTAGCTCTCCCTCTCATGACCTCATCTTCAGTGGTGCTCCTGCTATGATAACTTTAGCTTTCTATCAAATATTGCTGTGGTTATGAAACATGACAGCTACTCCATTAGCTCTCAGCACACAGTGTGCACATGGTTAAAACATCAAGATACTGATAGACGCCAACCATTTCAGCTACACCTGACTCACTACTAGCTCTCAGCACAGTGTACACAGGGTTAAAGAAGGACACTAGGCATGTGCAAAACCTGCTGAAATAGGGCCGATTTCAAAACAGTTCCATTTTTTTTTACCTAGATGCTCTGAAATAAACGTCTCCAAATAGCTATCAATTAGGGGGAGGGGAGGCTCTGGAGAACTGAACCCTATTATAGTATTAAAGACACACTAATATTTTCCTATAATTGTTTTGCTTAGCACTTTTTGGCTACTGCAAATAATTTTTTTCCCCACATTACAACTGGTGGGATGCTGCCATAAGTGCCCTGTTGACGAGCCTCCATTGCCAACTTGCCTTCCAATAAATGATTTACTGCTTAATTGCATACAATTAAGTAGACGTGTGCATTGTGAAAAAAATATATGGGTATATATTTAGAATAAAGTTGGAATAAAGGATGCTCATTTTTGCACCCTTTTAATGAGGCTAATTCCAGTAAGATAATATACCATTCAAATTCAGTCAATAAAGTCAATTTTCATGTTTTTAAGGGTTTGGTTACTTATGAGCATGCAGTTGAGTATTTTAAGCATTGGGTCTTGTTGATTTCCTTCCTTCTGTCCTTCCTTCCTTCCCCATCATTCATCTCTTGTTTTGGTGCATTGGACAGAACTTCAAATCACAAATTATTCATTTGGCCAATGTCCAATTAGTATGTTTTCTGATAGGTCCATATGACACTTCTGAGTTATGGAATTGGAGACACGGAATTTAAATTGCAATTCGCTTGAAACCAAACACACAAGCCTACAATTAAATATTCTAGTACTGAAAGTAATTTTTAGATCTCCAACACTTGCAGACAATATCCAATGATGTTCAACCCCACTGCAAATGAAACACGTCTGGGTGATAACTGCAAAGTAATTTCAGCAAGATGTCCGTAAAACATGAAAGAATATAGCAAAATGAATCATGAAATAAGTGGAAGATGGATAGAAGAACATTTTCTCATATTTGACTATTCTAGATAATTATTCTATCTTCTTTTACCTTTCACACTAGCTCATTATAGAGTAAAAAGCCTTCTGTGTACAGAAATATGGAGTTTCCTAGTCTCCCTAAACGCTGATAATGCAATTGCTATAACTGATATCAGCATTGATCTGTTGAGTCAAGTATACGTGTTTTAACTAATCACAAGTTACTAGCACTGGGGAAAAGTTAAGCAAAAAAGGCATTTACTAGTCACCATATCTAATTAGATAAGCCAGCATTGAAAACTCTCAGAGCAAGTTGAAAAGCTCCCTAGGAGAAACATAGAAATAGTGATGAAAAAGGATAATTACTAGATAGACTAAGCAATTTACGGCTACATTTATATCAGCAATTCGACTTCTACCGATAGCACGTGTAAGACAAGACTGGGATATAGTTATATATTTGGCTACTTTTTACTGGCATATGGGGGTTATATAATGTCTGCCAATCTCAAAAGTAGCTACACATAGTTACCAGCAGCTACTACTAAAAAAAATTCTAAATTACTCTATAGGAAGAACTCGTTCCAACATTGTCGCTACTTTTTTTTTTTTATCTGCTGCTAAACATTCACTTTGACTGATAGATAATGCATGTGTAATCTCGTTCTTGGTAAAGGAGTGAAGGCAGATTGACAGTTTCCTTTTGATGAACATAGGGCCGGTCTGGTAAATCTATATTGATATACTTTGAAGGCTTACAATTTATTAAAGGAACACTCCACTGCCACAATACATATAAAATAAAAATCACTGTTTAGTAGATATACACCCAATGGAAATATGCATGCCTTTAATTATATATTGTTTTCATTATGGTATATTTATTAGAAACTTGCAAAAGCTGCAGATCTCTTGCGTGAAGCCTTTGTAACCCCTGCCCTTCTAACATCGCCCAGAATTTATGTGGCTGTCCAATCATAGACTTTCCAATGCAGCCTACTGAGAAATCTTTGCAACGCGGGTGCCCATTGCCATTGACTGTATTTTGAGTTTAGCTCCACTGAGTTAACCTAACCGGGAAGTAACAGGACTTGTTGTCTGATTGACAGCCAGAGGGGTGAAACAAGGTTAATATATAAAGGTATCAATTTTTATTGAATTTTGCACTTTTTGTAAAATGAAAAAAGAGGACACACTCTTCAGAAAGCTGAAGTGCTTTATGTGTGTGGAGCAGTCTTTTAAACTGGATTTGCATATTTATGCTACTTGTTCATAATGCTGGCTAGGATAATAAATCTCACAAATATTTAAATTAAATACATGCATAAACTGTATTATTTCTTATGCTGAGATTTATTTGCAGATTGAGACATTAATGTTAACCAAGCCTAAAATAATATAATATCCAATGCTTCAAAAACAGACATAAATACATTAAACTGAGATATGGCAATCTGACTTCCTGGATAAATATGTCATATTATTATTACTAATAGTATATACTGAAAAGCCACAACATTAAAACCTCCTTGTGCTGTCAGAACATCTCTGATGTTAAGGAATGGACTCCACAAAGACCTCTGAATGTGTTCGGTGGTATCTGGACATGCAGCAAATCTTTTAAGCCATGCAAGTTGCAAGGTTGGGCCTCCAAATCGTACAGATGCTCAATAGGATTGAAATCTGTGGAATTTGGAGGCCAATGCAACACATTGATCTCTTTGTCATGTTCCCCAAACCATTCCTGAGCAGTTTTTGCAGTGTGGCAGGGTTCTTTACCCTGCCATCAGGGAACACCACTGCCATGAAGGGGTATACATGGACAGCTGTAAGTTTCCTATTTCCAGTGTGCTTTGTATCCAATGTATCTTCTAGTCAGTGTTGTTTAATATAAGAAGTGTTCAATATCAACTCTATGTGCTCTATCTGCAAACCAGTTTTCAATTTACATGCACAAATTATACAGCTAGTCATGTTTGTACAGTAAAGCCCTCTGTGGAGATCTAAAAATAATATATAGTATAGTTTCTGGGGTACCATGTGGAAAGAATATGAGTCCTGCAAATTACTCTTTTCTTATTCTTCAGCTATTATGGCTGTAGATGCTTTCAGGGATTCTGTTTGAGCTTTATAAGCATTCTATTCAGTTGTCTGATATGTCTGTATTTGGAGAGAGAAATGTAATTGTGAAAAATATCTCTTTAGATTCCTAAGAAGGAAACTGTAAAGCATTCACCCTCTTCAAAAAGGAAAGGAAAGAAAATATCTATTTTCATTTTTCAATAGCATTAGAATGATAAGAAAAGGAATAACTACTTAAATGTGCGATGTGGAAGGGGCCACCAGATAAAATCCTGTTGCCCCAAACCACCGCACCGCAATGCAGATCTTACCCAAAAGAAAGTATAAAGCTCAAATAAATGACAAATACTAAGAAATAAATAGTATACTAAATAAACATAACCTTTATTACGTCATACGACATGAAAAAAAAAAATACAAATGTTAAGAAAAAAGTGTGGAAAGAAAACGTGCAAACAGTGTACGTGATTAAAAAGGGAAGTCTAGTGGAGTAAGCTAGCCAGGTGGCAATATCTCAAATATAATACTAGAAGGCAATAATAAGGCCACAACCTAGTGTCTACAAATGGGCATGTAATGAAGAAAAGATCAATTGACATACGAGTATATTCAAAAGACTAGAACTCAAGAGGAACACTCTATGTTTATAATGGTCCACAAATGAGCACTTAAAACTATACTTGTGTAATAAAAAAGAAACTGTCAATTGACATATAAGTATATTCAGAAGGCTAAGCTCAAAAGGAACACTCTATATTAATAATAATTATAGTTCACTTGAAATCAAGGTACAATGTTTCTAGTTATAGTATCACAGCACAGTACAGTTGTATATTTCTATATAATATCTCTAAATAGATCTATATGTAGAGAAAAAATAAAAAGGAAAAAAACAAAACCTCATAAACATATTTATCTTGATCAAAGAAATCACAGTCTCAGAGTAACTGGGAAACAAAAAAGATATAAGTAGTTTCCCAATTAGATACTTTGTACTGTATCCCTAGTATGGTTTAGTCCCCACCAGCCATTAGCCGTATGCCCATCTAGTCAGGTGTATAATATAAAGGACTAATAGATACCCCACACAAAGTCCACTAATCTTCTTATAAAATAAAGCATAATGCTAGTATATAATAAAGTGGCTTAGTATTGGCAGCAAAACTCCATTAGAAATCCATGTTAAAATAAAAAGCAGCTAAAAAGCGGCATAGCCTAGCTCAACGCGTTTCGGCGCCTTTGTTGCGCCTTTCTCAAGAGCAAAATCTGAGTCCGAATCAGTGTGCATTTTAAATACCACAAGACCGCGTCATACAGCCAATCACATTAGGATACGTCATAGGGGGTGTGTCCCGAGCATAAACAATATTGGTCACAAAGATGCATCTCGGCGGGCGGTAAACACAGGGCCCGCCCACCTCATCGGGATTTTATTCCTTTTCTTGTCCTTTTGAATTATATGGGGTTAGGCCCCCTTTTCTTACCCATATAGTCCATTCTTCGACTATTGGCCTAAGTATTCTTAGACCTCTTTTAGTCGTTTTCTTTTGTGTTTTTCAGCATTAGAATGATGTAAATCTCAGCTCAGGTAAGTCAACAGGATTTTCATTATAATATAAAGGTGTTAAAGGGAAATTAATTATATGTGACGGTAAATACAATCACTTAGATTTAATATCAGCTTTCACTAATAATATAAAGTGAGTGGAATAACTTGATGTACGATGGTAAATGGTAGACTTGTACTTAGAGGTAAAACTTGGTTCAGCTGAATCACTTCGAAAAAAAACATTTTGTTCTGGTAGTCAATATTCATCCATGCGGTCTTTCAGCTCATCCTAATATTACCATGAAAAAATATTTGGTTACATGATTAAAATGAACCAAAGAGGTGCAAATATTGGCCAATCTATATACTGAAAAATACAAAAATGATATATATAGATTGCGGTTCACTAATTTGGTTCACAGATCAAGTTAGAAAAATGAACCAATAGAGGGAAAAGAGGAAAAGCAGTAAAAGTATATATAAACATATGCATATAGATTATTTTTTTTACAGATCCTCATTTCTTTCCTTCAGTGGTCACTTCTCACTTGATCTGAAAATTAAATCAACATTGAGTGGCTGTCCCTTAACCATCAATCACCTTTTTTCCATCAATAATCAATTTTTTTCGCGCCAAAGATAGAAGTCTGAATTTCAGAACATACGAACATGTCCCACATTTGAACAACTTGCCTATCACCCTAAATTCTGGCAAATTGAGCTAAAAATTAATGCTCAAGTGTAGTCAGTTTTATTTGATATTACACACACACACACATGCACACACACACACACACACACACCAATGTGTGTCTGTGGTGTCGAATCTTTTAGTTCATCGTCATTACGTAGATATCTTTCATTTACATAAAGGTCTTTTCATGAAACATTGCTTTCTGATGAGTCGGAAGCTGACTTGCAAAATATGTGCAACACTATAGTAAAAAAAAAAAAAAAACTTTAAAAAAACCTTAATGTTGTTGAGTAGAGGATTTTTGTAGCTTGATTCTTTTAACCTACATTTTTGCAAGTAAGTCCAATACAACACACAGCTTAGTGAATAGACTCTTTCTGTATTTGTATTGGACAATAGATTTAAACTGAGCAAGCTGACGTGGTTTTGTTAGTATTGATATTCTATTACTAGGGAAGATACTGAGTTAGGGGAGCAAAGCAACACTTTCAAATGTTTCTCAAAACTAAAGGTTTCAGTCCAGCAGCGAAACAGTTAAATGAGGCGGTTTTATGAAGACTGGAATTTTCAGGTTTGTACTTTGCATCTGCTGTTCCTAGGCAACATTTTAAAGAATGCATTTTCTTAATAAACAATCCTTTTTAACTGTTTTGCACACCTCACTGGCAGTAAAAGCGATTAAGCATTTTCCACTGACATCACTTTAGAAGATTTTAATTCCCAGGGTTTACGATTTTCAGATTTTACATTGCATGCAATTACTGGCTGAAGTGTGTCAGGGAGAGATATATATTTCTTTAAAAAAAAAAAAAAAAAAAAAACAACATTTTTGATACTTCTTTGAGCATATTAACATTAAAAAATCTTGTTCATTATCTTCCACCTACAGTATTTCCTATCATGCATATTTTATATGTTTTTGTGGATAACTGGTGACTAAGCAGTGACGGTCATAAGCATGTCTCGAGGCGATTGTAGATTTTAGATAACTGATTAGGGCATCTATTAACTAATACTGGACAGTGCATTTAACTAAAGTATACTCTGCACATTCCTCTGGCATAAAGAGTGTTAAAAAATTGTGCATGGCCATACAGAAAGCCCATGTAGTGAATTCCCCCTAATCATCAGGACATTATCTTGCATCCAATTTCAACACAATCTTACATTACTAAAGAAAACAGAAAGTAATTAAGAGTGAGAAGCTTCTAATGATTAACTGTATTGCATAGAGGTGCTCTAGTGGCATAGAAAGAGTTAATGTGCATGCAGAACCTCTTTGTAAACACACACAGGCAGACATACAATAATGAGGCCTATCAGGATTACTTTGCAAGTGTTTAGATGTTCACCTAATCCCACAGCTCTGCTGAGAGAGAATGACATTTTTTGGCACAGGGTTGAGAAGCCAGAATCAGAGAACTTTATTTTCTAAACTAAAATGTTTAACTCTACATTTGACTCCCTTGAAATGTTCCAACTTGTGTCAGCTGGCTGGGAAGTCTACATATGTCCCTTGAGATGTACCTTTGTGTTAACCGATTTGTACTAGTAAGGTCAATAATACACAGTGACATCACTGACCATGCTGGCCACACCAGTGGAATCGCAGCCTCTCACCATTGTGTGACCAAGACAGACGGACACTTATAGTAATGAGAAGTGCTGTTCGTACCCCGATGGTTCCCACAGACTGGCTGTATACCTGTGCTCCTCCACGCTCCTGTTCTCTGCTGTCTTCCAGTCAGGCAAGGTGCTAGCACACAGTACGACCATGGACACAATGACAAACAGGATAGACACCACGGCCAGAATCTGAGCTGCTAATGACGAGGTTGGCTCTTCAAAAGTCAATCTCATGCGTTCAAGCCACTTTTTGTCTCCTGGACTTTCTTTCACCTCATCCTTGTTGGTGCTCTCATCCGGCTTGCTCTCATCAGACAGGTAAGTGTATGTATCAGACATGCGGTCATCAAGCCTTCTCTGACAGCAGTATTCCAAATTGGAACTTTCCAATCCCCAGTAAATCATTTCATTGTAGAAGGACAGCTCACACATCTGGGGCACGAATCGAAGCTTCCCATACTTCACGTACATCATGATAAAGCCAAATGCCTCAGAGTGCCTGTCAAAGAAATACTCATTGCTCTCCTGGTCGTAGTCATCACAGACCTCCAAAACATCCTTCTCAGAGGAGCAGTTGTGTAGTCTGCTAACCCTTCGCAGAGGGAAATCCTTGATCACATCTTCGGAGAAGGAATATCTGGCACCCCCAACATTCAGGATAAAGGAATTCCTTGCAAAGTTCATCTCTGAGTCCGAGCTTCTGCCGCTGTCCTTCAGCACCACCCCCAAGAAAGCCAACGACAAACCCTCTGGTTTTCACCTTAAAGTTTTATCTCTTATTCCATCCCCAAATTCAAGTAACCCTTCCAATCCTGGAGGATCCATGCAGACGGATTCAATGTAGAACATGTTTGTTTAACCCCTTGGGCCAGAAACACCAGATGGATAAAAGTTCAGTTAAAAGTCCTGTTTCAGGCTATAAGTTAAGATGCTGCTTATTGTAAGGTCAGGTTTTCTCCAGATTGTTACAGTAACATTTTAGAACTCTGTAGAACACTGAGGTGTCCTGCCTGGTAACATATGATCTCACAGCTCACTGTGTCCAAGCCGGCTTTCCAGTTAATCAAAAGAAAAGAAAATCCACAGAGGAAGTGAAAGGTAGAGTGTTTGGAGAGAACAAATCCACCGCCCCTTCTCCACTGGCTGCTGAACTTTACAACACGAGACACAGTCAGTCAGAGAGAGAGGAGGGGAGAGGGAGGGAGAGGAGGGGAGAGGGGAGGGGGAGCAAGGCTAGTGTCTGTTGTACAGAACTGGGAGGTACTTTTTCTATAACCCTCTGTTGCTGATCTGCCTCTATACATTAAGTTCTTTCATTTATTAAGTGCACATTTCCTTTTATTTGTGAGTCTGAGAGTAGGGAGGAACAGCTCTCCTTTGTGTGAAATTGCCTTTGAATATATATATATATATATATATATATATATATATATATATTTTTATGTAGCAAACAGTAATATCATTCTTAGGCTGTAATATAAACAAAGACTTTTGCTATGGCAACTACAGAAACACCTTCATTGATTGAGTGACAATACATACAGTATCTGGAATTTAATTTAATATTAAGATATTTAGCACAGAACCTAACAAAATATATATAATGGACATGAGATAAACTAATATATATATATATATATATATATATATATATATATATATATATATTAAAGAAAACAGTGAAAAAAACCTGTGTTTGGCTTTATTTACTAAATACTGACTAACCTAGGTTTAGTCTCAGTTGGCGTCATTTGTATAGGTTTATGATGTGGTAATACACCCAGCTTGTTATGATAATGAACTATTGTTGTGTTTAGTTTTTGTTAGATACACATACACACACACACACACACACAAAGACACAAACACATTACTTTATCTTGCAATACTTATATTACCAACTACCAACTATTACCAACTACCAAATATTACTAACATTTTTTTAGAGGAATTGTACCTTCTGATTTATTTTTTTAACTCAGTTCACATACGATATGACTGATGTTGCAGATCTCGTAGAGCTAATTTTAAAGAAGAATAGTGATGGACAGATCTGCATTGCAAATAGCTTTTTTTTACAGCAGTCTTTCACAATCACATAGACATGTTTCATATGTAATAGATTGCATTAAAGGAAACACTTCTTATTAAAGTGGTCTGGGTGCAGTGTCCCTAACCCCCTTAGTCCTGCAATGTAAAACATTACAGAGCTAAGACTGCCTCTACCAGACAGCCACTAGAGACACTTCCTGCGGTTTCACAAAGTTTGACTTCGTGAAAATTGCGCTGGACGTCTTCACGCTTTGCATGAGGACGTCCAGAATCTGTAAAATCCTCATAGGAAAACATTCGGTCAATACTTTCCTATTGGGAAGGCGCATTGGATTCCCCCCATCGGCTGACGTCGGCAGAGTAGGAGCCCGACCCAGCACTGAGCTAGAGGAATCAATTAAGTGAAAAAAAAAAAAAAATAGATAGTAACCCTTTCTTTATTGGTGGGAGTGTGAGGGGGGAGGGAAACTGTAGTTTTAGAAGTTTAAACATTTCCCAAGATGTGTTTCAATTACACACAAAGATCTGTTCACTAAGTGGTTAGTAGCAATTAGTTGGCAAATGATTTGCAAAATGCAGCTAAAGTGATGTAATATTTTTAAAATATCTGCCAATTGTTTGAATTAGGGATTTTGTATAGTTTGGCTGCTTCAGCTTGCAGTGTTGGAATATATATACACACACACACACACACACACACACACACACACACACACGCACACACACACTCTCTCTCTCTTTCTCTCTCTCTCTCTTTCTCCCTCCCATAAATGCACATGCAAGGGACAAGCACATACACATGCACATGCACATACAAGCTCACAGACACATACACATGCACACCCATACACACACACAGACACGTGTCATGGGTGGGATACCTGGCACAAGTGCCCATCATATATATGTGATTTGTAGCAGGTGTACCTGAGTACACACTGCAACAGTATATAATGGGTTAAGTACAAACTGAACTGCCAGTATCATATGCTATCTAATGCACAATATTCCAAATGGGAAAAAAAGTGTCCATTCAAACATTGGATTCAGTCTAATAATATACAAATAAATTGTGCAATGCTGAATAAATACACCAATGTTTAATACAAATTGCACTTTCAGTTTCAGCTCTTATATTGTAAGAGTAAAAAAAATAAGCCTGTGTCCTAAGGTAGGATTCACGACCCCCTAGTACACTCCTACAGATCGAAAAATCTTATCTCATGGTACAGTGTTATTCACTTAATTATAAATATTAAGCCCAGATCAAAGTAACATGTTATTAAAAGGGATCTAAAGGGCAATGTATGTAGGTGCAGCATGTATTTGAAAATCTTTGTGAAAAAATTCAGATTTCATTGCCATATGCATATATGTAGAGATTTTGCATGAAATACATGCACTATACTGCCACCAACAGGAAGTGTTAGACAATACATTAGACAGGAGATTTTCTTATTCAAGCCTACAGTGTATATTCTTTTCAGCAGAGCTCTCCTTACTTCTTGCTGCCGTTCTCCTACATTTCTATGTCATTGTGCAGATTTCATTTGAAATTGGAATTTTTATAAACTAAAGTGGCTCTGTCACCATCTGGGGTCTTTGCATATAATGCAAAGACTTCTATTGGTGACATCGCTACTGGGGGTTCGATGGCCATGGGGGTCAGAGAAGATGAGATTTACTTACCTGAACCTGTTCCTCTTGGGCACTGCCATCCTCTTTCTACATTTTTTTTTTAGCTGCTGGCTCTTCAGCTGCCAGGAGCCGACATCAACGCTGTATTCTTGCGCATGCACAAGAGTACAGAATTCAGGTTTATGGAGGATCCCGTGGGATCCTCTATAGAAAGAGCTTTATTTCCCTACAGATGTTACTGGTGACAGCTGGGGGACATAACAAGTATGACAGCATTGTTATGCCCTGCATTGGGGAGAAAGTGCTGTTAACCACACACTAATAAACACACACCCACATACAAATACTGCTACACACACTGCAGTTACACACTCTACACAAACAAAAAGTGACACACATACTTAGACGTACATACACACATACTCAGACATTTATACACACTGCTGCACCTGCACACAGACTATACACATACACACACTCACACTTTATGTGAGTATATATATACAATTTTTAAAATCAGATTTAAAAGTTCAAGTACTTTTTTTTGTTAGTTTGGAGGGGTGAATGGGGGGCGTTTGAGAATTCAGGCACTCATGAAGTGAATCCGGACCTGCAGACAACCAGTCCTGTTAAATGCTGATTGTTTAGCTCAGCTGTTTTTAAAAATACCCCCCATGAAAAAATGCATTCCTGCACAACAGGGTTATTCACTCAAGTATGAATTAAAGTGAATTTTAAATTTAAAGGGACAGTCCAGTGTCAGGAAAACAATTAGTTTTCCTGGCACTGCAGGTCCCCTCTCGCTCCCACCTCCCATCCCCGGTTGCTGAAGGGGTGAAAACCCCTTCAGTCACTTACCAGAGGCAGCGACAAGTCCCACGTCGCTGCTTCTTCCTCCGCCGCCGCGGGAGACTGATCCCGCTCGCTGGCTGGGTAGACCTAATGCGCATGCGCGGCAATGCCGTGCATGCGCATTAAACCTCTCCATAGGAAAGCATTGAAAATGCTTTTTAATACTTTCCTATGGTGATTTTAGCGACGCTGGAGGTCCACACACAGCGTGAGGACGTCCAGCGACGCTATAGCACAGAAAACTTGTGCTATGGACCAGGAAGTGCCCTCTAGTGGCTGTCTAGTAGACCACATAGAAATGCAGAGTATGACGACGCCAAAGATTGCAGGACCACAATGGGAAACACCTCTAGTGGCTCTCATCAGACTTCTTAGGAAGTGTAAAAATCACACCTTCTCAGAAAAGGTTGTTTTAACATTGTTAACACTGCAGGAACAGTCTTATTGCACCCAGACCACTACATTAAGCTGTAGTGGTTCTGGTGCTTAGTGTGTTCCTTTAATTTATATTGGTGACAAGAGATCGGTTGAGAGATCCCAGTCAGTTTCTGGCACTGGCAGGGCTGGCACTATCCAAGCGGGGAGAGATCTCCCTCCCCGGTCCGCAGGCACCGTGCAGGCAGCCGGCAGGTGAGGGAGGGAGAGAGGACAGGGAAGCTCAGCCTGCAGCTCCTCCAGGTCCTTCTCTCGGGAGCACAAAGCGTTGCTGAGGTTACCACGGCAGTGCTCCGGATCTTGCGAGAGTGAACTCTAGCCCTGGAGCTGTGGGCTACAGTTTACTCTCACCACTGGGACCACCAGGGAATCCCCACCGGACCACCAGGGATCAAGAAATGTCCCACCTCCTCCCTTAGTAAAGGTAAGAAGGGAGGGGGGATATTAATGTATTTATTTATATTTAAAAAATTTTTTTTAGAAAAAAGCCTCCCCTACTCTCCTTACCACACATACACACACTGCCCCCCCTACACACATTGACCCCCATACACACAGCCCCCCATACACACACTGCCCACATACACACATTGCCCCAAATACACACATACACACTGCCCCCCACACACACAGCCTGTCACGGGTGGCAGTACGGAAATCGGGACCCCTGAGTGACTGATGATGATCGGAGTCAACCTCATGGAAAAGAAACAATCAGGGCCTGGTGCAGGATGATCACACGCCCCCTGGTGTTGAGCACCAGGGTTTGTGCAGCCACATACCAGGGCCCTGATGTAGCTTCAGCGGATCCCAGGAATTAGGATAAACTATGCAGACCTCCCTGATCTGGATAGGTAACAGGTATGTATCCAGTACTAGAAACAAAGCAAGACTAGAACAGGCACCAAACAAGAAAACAAGACAAAACTAGTAGAACTCAGAACCAGAGGAGGATAGAAAGCAAAACCCAGAACATGTACACAAGACATGGGGGAAACATGAACAGGGCAGGACAGGACTGTACATGGACTGGGAATACAAAACCAAACAAGACAAGATATATAAGGCAAAGCAAGAGGAGACAAAACTAAGTACTATATATGTAAAACATTGGCGATTTAGACATACATAAATGGCCAAGATGTATGCAGCCCACCACTGCGTCAAAGTACTCCAATTTAGGAGGGTCCTAGACTGCCTAGAT